TGAAAGCTGAATAAATAAGCTTTCCATTGATGTATGCTTTGTTAGGATAAGACAATATTTGGCCGAGATGCAACTATTTCGGTGCAAAAAAATCTAAATATTGAGAAAATCGCCTTTAAAGTTGTCCAAATGAAGTTCTTAGCAATGCATATTACTAATCAAAAATTAAGTTTTAATAAATTTACAGTAGGAAATTTACAAAATATCTTCATGGAACATGAATATCCTAATGATTTTTGGCATAAAAGAAAAATCAATAATTTTGACCCATTCAATGTATTTTTGGCTATTGCTACAAATATACCCCAGCGACTTAATACTGGTTTTGTGTTCCAGGGTAACACACACACACACACACACATATATATATATATATATATAAGTTGTTTGGCATTAGAAATGGTTTTGCACTCAAAAATGTCTTTTTTTTTTTTTGTGTGCAGCGATGAAGACGGAAACAGACATCGCCACCGACACGAAAGGGAAGGCAGCGGTGCCGCGCCCACAACCCTGGAGAGAAGGATAGAGGAGCTAGAAAGGGTACGCTTCTGTGTGTTTACCATCAAGATAGAGCTGCCTATCCTACCTACAGATTTTCACATAGGTCCTGTCCCAAACGGCGCACTTGACATGAACTTTTGGTCTTGTAGGCATTCCTCGTACCCATCGAGTCCAATTTTTGCCTCAAACTGCAAAAATGTCAACATTTCAGCTGGTTTATGATGACTTTCTGCTATCTTTTGGCTGACGCTAAATGACGGCCGTTTCCGACTGTCTCTCAGCGCAATCCTGACCTTTCTCTGGAAGAGATCTCCATCTGCAGCGCTTTTACAAAACGCCACGAGACCAAAGCCCGTGCCACTCACTCTCAAATGTCAGCATACTTACAAACCTGGAACCCACACGAATTTGATGTCATATACTGATATTAAATTAAATTTCAGCCTGGGGTCCATATTCAAACCCAGTAAGCCCTGAGTTGTTTTAGTGCCTTATCTTGCGGCAGTTTCATACGGTTTCACATATAACTCTGTGTGACTCAGACAGCACTGTAATAACCTTCAACTTAATTGGCTTCAGATTTTCCATGCAACACATTTCCATGCAGCGAACGCTTTATTTTAATAGCGAGTTGAATATTTCTTAAACCTCGAGATCAGCTGAACAGCAGTCTTAAAGACACACGGCGCATTAAGAGCACACACTCCACGATCGTGAGAGGAACATCTATAGTGACACAGTCAAACGAGGTGCTGCTTTATAGCCCTGCATTATAGTCATAAATATTAATGTGTCTCAGAGGATGTAAGAACATGTTCACATGCTCCTACATGTAGGTGTGCTGGAGGACAAACATTTGTAATGGGGAGAATTGAGAATTTACCTCCTAATTGAAACGAAAAGCTGAGGGGGACACGGACAGCAGATTTCTACGTTGTTTTGAATAAAACAAACAGCACAGAACATTTGTAATGGGGAGAATTGAGAATTTACCTCCTAATTGAAACGAAAAGCTCAGGGGGACTCGGACAGCAGATTTCTACGTTGTTTTGAATAAAACAAACAGCACATCCTAACCATGCCTGATGTGCCAAGTTTGTAATAAGAACTTTTTCTGTCCATACCGCAAAGAAATGTCACTATAAAGCTCAATACTGCAGAAATATAACCAAGCAACTAACAAAAAGTGCTTTCTCTTGTACATGTGCAGAGTGTTAATGTAAACTAAGGTGCAAAATCATTTGGAAAAGACCACTATATTGACAATCACCACATTTCCATAACAATGCGTATCAAGTATTCAGCAACCTGCCATGCATGGCTTTAATCATTTGACATGCTAAGAGATCAGTCAATCATAACAGTGCTTATTTGTATATAGAAGTATGAAAGTAAGCAAAGCACTGCACACTACATACAGTCGTAATTGTGTTTAAGGCTTTGGATCTGATGGAATTGCACTTTCACAGGAGCTGGCTGTGGAGAGACAGGAGACCAGTCGCCTGTTGAAAGCCCACCAGGATAATGACGAGCTGATCGTTAAGCTGAAGGAGGAGATCGAACTGCTAAACCGGGTGAGAAGCCGACAGTGGTCTCGTAACGCCTAAATGAGAGATTTTACAAGTGCACATGTCCAGAAGCATCATTTCAAATAAGCATTATCTGTCATACTTATTGTCATTTCCCCTTCGATAACCGTATAGCCATTTCATTTGTGTACGGAAACAATGTCGATATAACCGCTATTAACATGTCTATTAATTAGAAGTGACAATTTATAGGCTGCTTGCACACACACTTCTACAGCATTTTACCTGAAATCAGGGTTCCTATGCATTTTCCATTTCCAAATCTCATACTATTCCAGAATTGTCTGTAGATTTGACAGTGCATATTTAACATGGTTTTAAAATAGCCCAGCCATCTCAGTCAGTATACTTGCATGACATTTTTATGAATTAATTAATCCAAATAATTTAGACCTATATGACCTTTACAAAGATATCAGTTAAAGAGTAGTTTTTAAAATAATGCAGTTAAATGAACCCAGTAAACCCAGTAAAAGTAGGCCTTTATAGCAGCAAATTGGTACGGAAAGGTGACAAACAGAGCAGTATCCAAAGAGGCAACTCACACTTTTTCAGGTGGCACGTCAGCTGAAGATTTCCACAAAACAGCAAACATTTCTTTGTCATTTTGTTACCAGTGTAAACAAGAGGTGCTTTAGTACTTGTATTTCAGCAGTATCTGCGTGTTTGTCACGCAGAGCATCCCATTAAGCGGAGTCATAATTAAAAGCATCTGCGTCCGATGTGAGCACACTGTTATATTTATACCTGTTTACACCACTAATGGACATTACTCATCCTATAACCTTTCACGCTATTTACTAAGGCATCTCGCAGACTGCGGTTACATAATCCATCGAGTTTGCAGGTGTTTTGCTTTCCGTAAAGCTAGTTTTTCCCATTCTTTTGGCCTTCCCCAAACAGCCGTGTGTCACGTAGGCAGCAACTAAACAGGAACGACTATCAAACGACCATGTTGCTATCTCGCAGCAATCAGCTCCATATTGCAAAGGTGCTTAGCGGAAGATTACAAATACAATCATCCTCTGCTTTAGGGTAACAAATGCTCTCAGGTCTTAGTTAATTTCCTGACGTAAGTGTTTATGTGAGGTGACCTCCACTGAACTGGGCCCGATTGGATATTTGATCAACATTGTAGATACATGGGGGCATCCCATGGGGGTAGAGCACACACATGACATGTCACAGTGGAAGTGGACTGACTCTCCTTGCTTTACATGTTTATGTTATTTTGAAGCAGATCTTCAGGAGATCAAGGTTTGGCAGTAATATATGTCACAGCTAGTTTAACACGATATCCTTGTTATTAGATTTTCATGGCACACACATTGAAAGTTAATGTGCTGGTTCACGAAGCGTTATGTTTATGCAGTGAGATGGGTGTGCAGTAGCTTTAAGGATGATGCAATCCAACTACAAAAGCTTGCTTGTAAGCAAAGTTGTGCTTTTTCCAGCACTTGTGTGTAGTCATCATGCTTTGACAGTCTGGTGTCAGTGACGGTGTTATTATGAGCCCGACAGCACCACACTGGGAAAGCATTGGCTCTTGGCCTTCAGTAAGAATTGGATTGTCTGTGTGAGTGAAGAAAACAAATGAGCTGGCTGTGAAGTGTTGATATGATGTGTCTTGAGAATTAGTTGGTTAAGGTGTGCTTATTGATGTGAGGTGAGTGATTGCGAAATGGTAAAGGATTTTGTCAGTACTTGTAATTTATATGTGGGCTGTAGATGAGCCATCTGGTAGTCAGTGCATTTAAAGTGGTTTTACACTGGTAATACATTTAATTAATGTGGTTTAGTTGTGTTATGTAGTGCGATGAATGAAATGTTAAATGGCAGTTCATGTTGACATTTGTAAAGTAGTTAGAAAGTAAAGTAGTGTGGTCCTTAAAAGCAGCTGAAGTAAAGTAAATTTGCTTTGCTTTATGTAAAGTTAATAATGAGTCACCATTGGAAGAAAGAACTAGCTCAATTACTGGGTCACGGAGCAGTCTTTATAGTTCTTCAGTGTGCAGGTTGAACTTGTATTGCGTGTCACCACTTCCAACAATCAAAGCCGTTGACTGTTTGTGTTCTGTTTTAGTACATAGGGTTACTAATTATATTGGGATGGAGTTTATAGTGTAGAATTGTTGCTGATGTAATTACTGCACTGTAGATTGGTAGTAGAGGTTTGGTTCTTTGTACTGCCATGTGTGCGGGTTGCGGAGATGTCATCTGTAGGCATTAGACATGACAAATTGTTCTAAGGTATGCGCATGCCTTTGGCACTGTAGCCTTCTGAAGAGGTTGTGTTCTAAATGAGGTATATGGTAGCTGTTGACATCAATATGTGTAACTGACTAAAGTAGCAAGAACTGATGTCCTGATGCTTGTGTCCTAGAACAGTAAGGTTGAGGGTAATGTGTGCTATTTGCGTAGTGTTTATTGTAACTGTGGCCTTCTGAAGAGGTTGTGTTCTAAATGAGGTATATGGTAGCTGTTGACATCAATATGTGTAACTGACTTGAAGTAGCAAGAACTGATGTCCTGATGCTTGTGTCCTAGAACAGTAAGGTTGAGGGTAATGTGTGCTATTTGCGTAGTGTTTATTGTACTAATTTAACAGAGTGTTCCCAACCCTAGTCCTGGTGTAGCAATGAGCAGCAATCAAGTGTGTTTAATGAGGGAGCTGAGAAGAAATGTATCATGGAGTTGGCAAAGGTAGATATTTATTCAAAGCAACTAACTAAGTGAAGAAGAACAGTAAAAAGCAATATATTTAATTAGGGCTGCACGATAAATCGCATGTGATTGTCATGCGCATCTCGTCAGTAAAGCCAGTTCTGTGATTAGTAGTAAATCTCCATCACGTGCTTTCAGATGTAGCGGCATTTAATACACAGAGCCGTAGTTCACGGACAAGCTACGCAATATCGCGTTCATAATCGAATGCGATTATGAACGCAATATTGTGTAGCTTGTCAGCGAACTACAGCTCTGTGTATTAAATGCTCTTTACCATCAGAACCGGCTTTACTGACGAGATAAGCATGACAATCACTTGCAATGTATCATGCAGCCCTATATTTAATGAGGCCACAATCTCAGCAATAAGTATACATACAATGTGAAATGTGTTGAGCGTAGTCCTGGTAGAAGCTCAAGCGTTGCAGATCTGGAAGCAGAGCAAAGGCAAGCAAGCGTTAGTAAAAGAGCAAGGCATAGAATGGAACAACAGGAGTGAGTGAGTGGCGTACTGTAGCATCTGCTGCGTCGAGTCGCCCATGTTTTCACACGATGGCTACTTCAATACTCTGCTCGTGAACCAATAGCGCAAAGCCTAAACCTATGACCTCACTTCCCACAGCTGTGGGCCTACTTCTCACTCCAAACCTGATTCCAATCATTAGCTCGTTACTACATCAGCTGGGCATGGCTGAAATGTGAATGTGCTGCTGTATTCATAGCAAAGTTCTAAATAAATATTGTACGTATTTTATATATAAGGAAAGTGATTTAGGGCTGAAATAAAATGTGCAGAAAAATAAAATCCTACGACAAAGGAAATTTAGAGAGTGAGAGAGAGAATTCATTGTATTGAGTTTTTTTTTTATATTTCAATGTAAACACTATGCTTTTATTTTGACAGCTCTTGTATTACACAATTCTCAAACATCATTACAAAATCATAACAAAAAAACATTCACACCACATACTTTTCAATACAATATAACGAGTGATAAAAAATGAAACTGCTTCTACAGCTTTAAAATCAGGACCTGCGTTATTTATAATTGTAGAGATCCACTTCTGTAAATCAAATCTATAATACCTGGTATTTCTTCACCAGAAACATCGAGACATGCACCAAACACAATGGGCTCCTCCAGAAGCCAGTACAAAGACATCAGTGGTTCCATCCACGAGCTCGTTTAAACAGACTCAGGAATTCCTCTAAAATCAAGTTTTTTAGAATCCATTAAAAACAAAACTGTGTCCAAGCCAAGTCCACTCTGCGTAGAATGCATTGAGGGTGTGTTCACACTTGTCATGTTTGGTTCGATTAAAACGAAGCCTGGTTCGATTGCTCTGTTAGTGTGGTTTGTTTAAGTGTGAACACTGCCATCCAAACCCTGGTGTGCACCAAACAAGTGGACCGAGACTGCTAAAAAGATGGGTCTCGGTCCGCTTTCAAACGAACACTGGTGCGGTTCGAATGAAATATGAACACAACATGGACCAAATACTTCAAAATGAACCAAAAACAGGAAGTAATGACAAGATGCGACATGATTTGACGACGCAGAATGAGCAGTGTATCCAAAACAAAAGGAGCAGAGGGCAAACGTGGAGGTAAAGTGCCTTTTATAAGCTCTTCGTGAGTTCGCAGGTGGTGAAAATAAAATCATAAGTACACGCAGCAATGAGCACGCTTAGTCCAGCAGACGGCATTATGTGTGTTCGACTTAAAGCGGTGTTGAGCAGACCGATCGGTGAATGGGTACTTTGATGTCATACACTGATCGGTCTGCGCAGCACCACTTTATGTCGAACACAGCTTTTGTTTGGGGTGTTTGGTGAGTCCTGTCGTGAAATATACATCATTCATCCCAACCAATCAGGTTGTGAACATATCACTATGCCTTTAGGTTCGGCATCTTTAGGTTCGCTGTCAAAAATGCCAGTGTGAACGCTCAGCGGACCAGGACCAAATGTATCGTTTTCTTTTTTGGTCCGGACCAAACGAACCAAGAGAACCGAACTACAAGTGGGAACGCACCCTGAGCTACTGGTCTCCATAACAGTCTTTCGGATCCCAGCAAAAATTTCTGCAAAGACTGAAGACGATACGCAGCACATCTACTTGCCAAATGCACTACACCTTGGCCTCCATCTTCTTTGGCCAGAAAAGAACACTTTGAGGGATCCAATGTAAATTGTCCCAAAAAATGTCCACCATTTCTGCTTGAATTTTTGATAAAAATCCAACAGGAGGATCAACG